CACTAAAACTGTTGGCAAACATTTGCAACCTTGAATGAACCCTGATGCAATCTGACGTGCGCATATTTTGCTACCTTCACCAACAGTTGCAAATGTTCACTTCACCCCTCAGTCGGACAGGGGCTTAACTAACAGAGCCTTTAATTGTCGGATGAGAACAAGAATAGATTTCAAACAGATTTCGCCAAATTTTATTTATTCTTAGAGCAATTAATTGTCATCATGTAATAGGGCAAGCAAAAAAACAGAACCAAGATCTTTGATTGGTATCAAAATCTGTACATGGTTTTCAAGTTGCTGGCCCATGCTTCCAGTTCGAGAGACTGTATGGTTGCTTCAGACTCAGCTCAAGGGAGACCACATAGCAGGTAATCTCACTGGTAGCCAAAACATCCCAGCACAAAACCTCTTGTTTATTCCACCCAAATCTCACCCTGATATTTAATCTGGCTGGAATTTTACTAATGAATTTAAAACAGCAATTTGCTGAGCCAGTGATTTTCTGTCTTGTCCAGTGATCTTGTTTTGCTGATCAGGAGGTCAAAAGCCTGGTGCCTCGATATCACGTATAATGCCATTTAGCACCTTATCAATGGCTGAAAAGGGGCTGCTGTTATGATAGTCCAGCTGGCCAAAGCGTATCTTATCACCATTGAACCCGATAGTTCAATTTTTAGACTAAACACAACAAGGCATTCAGTCAGTTGACTATCGAGCCCTTTTTGGTTTTCCTTTCCCAATGTATTTAATGAAACGCAAAAGATGCAAAAGAAAGCCGTAAAATGTAACTTTGAATTTATGGTCAAACTACATGATTGGCCATTCCAGCTGCACTTGTTGCTTGCTGTTTTAAAAGATGTTGCCGGAGACACTTGGCTCCATGCAAACACAATTATCAAGTCTTCAGTTATGCACATGTTGTCATTGGTGTCAAAGGGTAGGTTGCAGAGGTTTCCTTTTCAGAATTGTCACTCCGCTTGTGTGTGTGTTTCATATGTCTGAGATAAAACTTGTCAAACAGCGAGGTGACCTGAGATGGATTTGGGGCATCTCACGCGTGCGGCACGAGACCTTTGGACAGCACAGCAACTCTGTGATTTACCCTTCAAAGACATTAGCATGCTAGTATTTCATCTGCATCTTAACCCTCCTTAACCCACCAACAGCCTGTATACATTATGGTGTCATAGGGGTGAGTGCTCCACGGCAGCTCAAATAAACACCCTGCATAGGTGACACCTTGTAATGTTCAAGTAAAATGCGCGTGAAATAGAAGTCCAACATTTGATTTCATGTCCTTGTCACACGTGGGGCAAGAATTTAATTGTGGGGGAATTCTAGATGCGGTCTCAAGAACAATGCTTAATGTATTACATATTGACAGATTTTGTTTTTGACCGATTGCGACTTTATAAAACTTGGGGTTTAAAGACATACCATGATATGGTAAGTGATAAGAACCATGAAAAGAACAGCTTGTTGCCGCCGTGCATTATTCAGTCTTACACTATCATCATTGAGTGTCCAACGCATTTGGCCTTGACAACCATTTTATGGAGTACAGCTGGAGAGTGTGCCAACAGTTTTTTACATTTTAATATGCCATCTCTCTTGCCTCCTATAGTTGTTAGCCAGCTTTGTTCAAGGCCCACAACATTAAGTCACATCTTCCTGCTTTTCATCAGCTCTAGGTTTGTGTCAGCGTAATATTATTTAAAAAAAGAAAAACTGCAAAATTAGCAGAATATATATGTATAAGTGCCAATGTATGCCTTAGTTCCATTACCAATGTGAATTAGTTTTTGTACGAAAGGCTTGGAATTTGAGATTTAGGTTTAATTAGCACCTGCTATTTTAGTCTAATCTGAAGACAGGCATCTTCAGGAGCCAGCAGAAATTGATGTCTCACTCTCATCATGGGCCTGCAGGCCTTAATCCAACTTCCAGCCACCGCTCAGGAGGGGGCACAGATATGTTGGTTAGACTAGGTGAGACAGAAAAGATTAAGGCAGAAAAAAAATGGACGACAATCTGAGAAGCAGTGATAACAAATGGATTGTTAACAATCCGGTATGCCATTTTAAATAGGTAAGTAAAGGAATCTTTTAATACCTTCACTAACCGTTGCTCAACAGTCCAGTATGCCATTGAATATAACATTTGAATATGGGTTCACACTCACAAAGTTGTATTTGCCGCCAGTATGCCGTGCATAGATGTTAAAAAGTGGGGCTCAAAATGCAGTTTTATACTTTATGGTAGAATATGTAATCCAGATTGTGTTTTGATTGAAATAATCTCCTCCATGGTTTTTGCTTGAGTTGTCCGTTTGCCCGGTCGATTCAATTAGTTTTCTGTTTTTGCCTTCTCTGAAAAGCAAACAAAAATAATTAAATGTTTCTGCTCAAGATGATAAGGTCTTTTACAGGAAGTTGTAGTGTGTGATAAATTCCTATGCGGTAGATGGTCCTGAAGGAGCAAAGTTCAATAGGATGCAGCGAAAGGAACAGGATGCAGATCGTATCACTCCAAGAATGAGGATATCGCCAATGAAATTACTCAAAACACACCGATTGATTGATGTCCACTGCTCACAACATTTCTAAGAACATCATCTGTAACTTTCCCATTGAACACTTGCTTGTCTTGCTGGTGTTTTTGCTGAATGTTTTGGTGTTCACATGCGAATTCCCAATGTGGTCTGCTCCTAGGCTCTCGGGTTTTCCCTCATTAGTTTTAGGACAGTAGTTGATTTTCTACTGTTTCAGCGGCCTACTTTCAAAGATAATTAGGGGGAGAAGTCAGTGCATTACTAGAGAGGGCGGCAATGGGGTGATTAGACACCTTCATTGAGTGTTGTTTGAAATAGCAAGCACTGTTTTTTTAGTGGGGGAGTATCACTCGGGCTTCTTTTAGATTGGGAACCACCAAAGCTGCAGGGTTGGGGGAACCTCTTTCACACGTAGTGATACTTTGCTCATCGAGTGACAAAGTGAACCATCAAACACCAGGACGCCACATAAAGTCAAACACTGTGACTTTCCCGCTTCCATCAACCCCCCTTTTCCTTCCCCTGCTTCTAAGATCTTTTTCGGCTCGTTTTACAAAGACCAATAAAACATTAATGTGCTGCTGGATTTCACACCCAGGCTAATATTGTCCATGAGTATGCGAGAAAGTTGTCATTTCTCTTGCTGCTCTCCTCGAAGCATCCCCTTATCTCTACCTTTTTCTCGCATCAGCATCCAAGGCCGAGACTCTCGCCGTGTGAGTTGTTGACAGCTACCGTATTGCATTGTGTTCTCAAGATAGCGGAGTTACTTCTAATGCTGTTATTCCCACGAATTCAACTTTTCATAACCTCCAGCAACAGATTTGAGGCAGTGGTAAGAATTAAAGACATTAAGTTGATGGTTGGAAAGAAAGTGAGGTGCCACCAGCACATATGAGGATTATGTCACATTAATTGGTTTTGCTTCCTGATCTGCTGAAAGCTAAGGTTGCTGGCTCAAATGTGTCTTTTGTTTTTTTTGACCTATTCCACTTCCCTTACTTCTCTCTGCAGCTCTTGAATCCTGGATACATTGTCATAAAAAGGGCGATACAGTTATATCTTTAAGCGTCCTGTCCTGTGGCTTGTCACTGGGGAAGTACCCTCAAGGATAGATTGAGTGTACCCTTTAAAGTTAAACAGGCTATATATTGGGCCCTTCTGTTTTCTACCATAGGGCATGTATGACCTTAGGGCAGTGGTCCCCAGCCACCGGGCTGCATAGTTGAAAAAAATAAATCACTGACAGTACTTCTGGCTGATTTATTAGCCGAGACTGAAACATATTTTAATTGGAAAAGCGACTGGATTCTCTCTGTTGCATCCATATAAGACTCTTGACGCATGTCAAATCTTGGTTGCATAGCGCTAATATTGAACCCACAAGCTAGCAAAATGAGTAAAAGATGTATTTGGAGAGTTTCTTTGCAACGGGGCAAGTGGTGAATGGTGAAACAACACAAGAGCATATGACCAAGAAGAAAAGAAAGGTGAATTTGACAGACAGTAGCAGGAGACCTATTGAAATATAGATTTCTCTGCACAATATGTGGCGAGCGGCTTATGGTGAATTATTCATGGACTTTATATTAGTTCTGTGGTGTCTTAACTTGGCGCATTTCAGGGGTACACTGCAAATAGATGCATAAAAAAGTAGGTTGATGTTTATTGTTACATTGACACAATACCAAGTTTGTGTTTCTCGTATCATGTATGCACTTTATATTTGTGTGTTGCATGCTTCAGCGTTTCCATAGTGACCATATCGATGCATTGTTGTGACCCATTTTAAAAACAAAAAAAGTAGAATCCCTTCTAACATTCCTTGTGAAATTTGTCACTTGGCACGCATGGCAGCCAGTCATATGCTTGTTGCATGCCTCATTGCACGTGTGCATACAAGGACGCTAACTGGCAAAAGAAGCAGTTTCCATTTTACTCTGTCTACTCTAATCCTAATTTAAAGTATAAAATTATTAGGGCAACAAGTATGCCAAGTATTTCCCTGACTTGGTTTCGGTGTGTCAACATGCATTCCCTCAATCTAGTTTTCCGTGCCATTTTCTACACTAACATTCCCACCAGCCCTCAACGTTTTATGCATGACTTTGAGTGATGGCACTGCCAGTAGGCCTATATGAAGGACGGGAAGCAGAGATAAGAGTCACCGGTCTTCCGATGATGGTACTGGGTGGCTGAGGGTATTCGGTTGACAGCTCCCTATAAGCCCGGGTGGATCACCTCCTGGGGGCAGGGGGCGTAATGACTTCCACAGCTGGCCCTCTGGGACGACCGTGCTCGTGCTCTGCACATCTCCTGGCCGCTTTAAGACTCAAACATGTTTGTTTGGGGAAGATTAGCAACGTAAACCCCTTACAACATCCTGAACACGCAGCGAGAGGGAGACTCGATGGTGGAGACAGCGGGAAAGAGAAATAGAGATTGATGAGTGGAAGGGGTGGGGGGGATCCTGAAACAATTTCATCAACTCCCAAGTAAGGGATACAGGCATTCCACTTTTTCTATCGCAATACACACACTTCAATGTTGGGGTGTGCGGTAAAAACGGTACATTCAATAGAAGGCATGACTTTGCCCGAAGCTAAAAACTTGGACCCTACCAGCCAATCGCAGTCATGCATGTTGATTACCTCTTTGTGCATTACTTATCTCCCTCCCTCCATGTTCACCGCTCTGTGTGACAAAAACGCTCAAACTATAGACCTGCGATCAGCACCAACACAAAGCGGAAAAGACCTCTGTGAAATGTTTGCAATATCCGCTTAATTTTTGTGTTCTTGAAGAAGTGAGCGATTGCTACTGACATTTGGACTAATTTGTATTATAGGAAAAAAATGATAGAAAACGCCTGACCGCTTTAAGAATTTTGACTTCTGAGATCTGATAAATCGAAGTGAATGCACATGCTTTCTGTTGAAAACAGAATCAGAATAGGCTCATCAATTCTAGACGCAGTTATTTAAACGAATCATAGAAAACGCACCTGAAAAGCCACTTGTGCTGTTTTAATTAAACATATCAGCAGTATCATTTTTGGGGGTTGGACTATTTTAATAGCACCAGGGAATGCTAACTTTTAATTAAATAAATCATGTGTCACAGGTGTCTCTGCCTGTACTTGTGTGTGTGCATCTTTCCATGGCAGGAAACAGATGTGAAGTGATATAAACGGCAGCACATGTCTGGGTGGCTATCTGTATGGGCCAGCTTGTCTTACTGCACTGCTCGACTTCCTGTGGGCTTAAATCAAGTTGGCCGTGATAAGGAGAGCTGAATGATGTGTGACTGGCACGCCTTTTTTTTTTTTCTTTTTTTTTTTTTTTTCCATTATTATTTTTTTAATCAGTTGTGCTTTTTTTGGATAACATGGGGATTAATTATGTTAAAATCTGGTGTTTGTAGTTCAGGCTTGTTGAGATATAAAGCAGGAGAGGATGTTGAACTATGTTATTTTCTTATTTTTGTTGACCAACTCTTGTCTTTGTTCTTTTTTTTTTTTGCAGTCCCTGTCCTGAGCAAGGGATGGGTGATGAATTTGACCTCATGGATCATTCGGACCTCTACATCTTGGATTTTAGTGAGTATCTCTGAGCTCAATTATCTGTTTTTATGAAATAATTGCCAATAACATGTAATACTGTAACAACTGTACATGGGCGTTGTCTAGCTATTAGCAGAAATGATGGCTAATGAATGTACTCTTAAGACCATCCTTAAACCAACACCTTCTGCTGTATTTACATTCCTCTGCACTCATATTTTGGGCCACCTTGAACAAAACAGGATGGTCTTAACAGAATGCAGGGAGACCAGATGAGCAAATGTGACGAGAGCAAGGATGTGCTTGCCAGGGATTTGCCCAGGCAGTCGCAGTGTGAATGAGAAACCTAGTCTGGGAACAAAACTTTGGTCTGTAGTGGGACGCAAGTCATTTATTTATTTATTATTTCCCTGGCATCTGGCAATGCCCATTAGAGTCCCGTGTGGCTTACACTGCCACATGCCGTTTGCTTATGCTTTTATGCTGTCACTCAAATTGGTGAAATTTAATAGCGAACGGCTATGTAATTAAAGTTTTGATGGTGAAATTATGCAAGACAATTTCCAAGGCAGCAACTGTAAACTGATCCCACTTCTCAATTGGGTGGAACAATCTGATTCCATTTGGTGATTCATTTTGATTGAGACTTTGCCTTGATTCTTCAACTTATTTTCTCATAACATTGTCGACTATCCATAGAAGACATTTCAAAAAATACACACAAGATATGGAATACAAAAAGGGGGTTGTCTTAAAATGTTAAGAATAAAGGCTTCTATGTTATACATTATTACATTATACACATGCAGTTGACTTGTGGTCGACTGCTTAGCACGTCCGACTCACAGTGCAGAGGTGCAGGGTCCGGACTTCCTCTGTGGACTTTGCACGTTTTCCCCGTAACGGCGTGGGTTTTCTCTGGGTACTCCGGTTGCCTCCCACATTCCAAAAACATCATGGTAGGTTGATCGGACACTCTAAATTGTCCCTAGGTGTGAGTGTATGCGTGAATGGTTGTTTATGTCTATAGGGGTGTACACACGGCAACTTTTACTCCGGTGTAGTACCGAGGCTGCCCCCGTAGAGCGTTCACACGTACAACGTTATACCGGTGTAGCCCCTGAAAACAACTTAAACCGGAGCAAATTTAACCCTGCTCAGGAGGTGGTTTAAAAATTTACTCCGGAGTAAATGCTAGTTTGCGGGGCAGCACCGATATAAAATTGGACGTGTGAACGCGACAGGGGTAGACTCGCTACGGCGCGTGAGAAGAGTTGATTACATACGGGTATTGAATGCGTTGCTTTCGTGCTCTGTTGGACTTCCGTCATCTTTCCTTTCTCTCTTCTCTCATCCTTTTACGGTGTCTGATAGATCACGGCTTTAATTTGTCCGGAGAAGTATCAACCATGGTTTTTCAATATGTCATGAACAAGGCGGGGAAAAGGAAGTACACTTTATGCATGCACATGTTTTATTTCCGTATTATTACTATTATGCATTATACCGTGCAATACGATATACTATTATCATATTGCACGGCCGCAGAAACTGCCGTGTGAGCGCAAGTGGGGCTGCACCGGGGTTAACACGCATCTCTTTAGTAAGCAGCTTTTTACGTGTGAACGCTCCACACAGTTTACACCGGTGTAAGATATATCGCAACAAAATACATCAGTACAGCACCGATGCAAATGTGTGCTGTGTGCACACCCCTTCTGTGTGCCCTGAAATTGGCAGGCAACCAGCTCAGGGTTGTGTTTGTTTGTTTGTTTTGCCGTTTGAAGCCTGAGGACTGACGTGGTGGCCATTGAAGTATAATCCATCTCCAAGCTCAATGCTACCTTTCGCTTTATATTTCATACTTGGCTCAAACTCGTGTCTGCATCACTCGAAATGCATTCGGTTGAACATTGTATACTTAGATAGCATTCATCTGGCCACTCAAGGCTTTTCCGTTGTCAGCCATGCACTTACAGACGCCTTCGCCGTGGGTGACAGATAATGCTTTGGATCAAGTGGTGTTCCTTTCATTCTCCTTACTCTGCTCGTTACCATCATTTTAGTACTTTCTGAACGTCATGCGGATGTGTCCTAGCTCATTTGGCCTTGTGGGAAGTGAAGCGTTTGAAGTGAATTTGTTGCTTTTTGTGGTTTGATCGTGGCTGTAGCTCTTACGGTTTGCCCACCTCTTTCATCTATAACTGCTTCAAACAACAACGTGTATGCAGAAAAAGATTGCACGACTGTCTGTGTTTCATATGTTGTGTTGTATTATTTTGTCATTTTATGTTAACTGTTCTGTTGATGGCGGCGCGGGCACCCGCAGCGGATCCTCTCTCTCCTGTGGTTGAGAGGAAAGAAATTTCATCTGTGCTGTATGTTGCACATTGAGCACATTTGACAATAAAGTTGACTTGAGACTTGAGATTGTTTTCGAAATGGTTCGATGTCTCGGCGTAATATCTTTTTATAACCAAGTAGAGTTCCACAAGGAACCACTACGCAGTTGTTTGCTGGTCTTCGCCAGGCTGTAGATTGGGCGTTGATATATTCCATATTGTAGTGTCAGATGAAGGCTTTGATCACCTTGGACTTCTCAGTACATTTTAAGGATTCTCCAACGAATATCAAATAATATTAGATTAGATATCCTTTATTTGCCCCACACTGGGGAAATTTACAGTCTACAGCAGCAAGATAATGGGTAGAAAGAAGAAAGAAGAAAAAGAAAACAAACACCGTTCAATTAAGTGCACTATAAATACAGATATGGATAAGGTCGCAGTGCTATTTACAATTGTCTTCCACATCATGTTATTTTTTATTCAGCAGCCTGACAGCAATCAGTAGGAACGAGCGGCGGTATCTCTCCTTCTTGCAGCGTGGGTGTAACCGTCTCTGGCTGAAGGAGCTACCTAGTGCTGTCAGGGCGGGCTGGAGGGGGTGGGAGGGACTGTCCATCATAGCTTTTAGCTTAGTTAGCATCCTCCTGTTGCCCACCTCCTCCAGAGTGTCTCCCCTCTCAAGTCCCGTTCTGTCCTTTTTACTCGGTCTGCCCCTTGGTTCACCCCTCATCTCCGTTCCCTAAAATCCCGAACCCGGCAGCTTTTGTAGACCAGTCCAGTTTGTTGTTTAGAAGAACACCTAGGTACTTGTAGGAGGCCACCCTCTCTATGTCCATACCCTGGATGTTCATCGGTGCTGGTGAGGACTGTTTCCTGCAGAAATCCACAACCAACTCCTTAGTTTTCCTAGGGTTGATCTGGAGGTGATTCTGCTGGCACCAGTCCACAAAGTCCTTCGTCAGTCCATTGTACTCCCGATCGTCCCCCTCTGTAATGAGGCCAAAAATCGCAGAGTCATCGGAGAACTTCTGAAGGTGGCAGTTTGGAGTGGTGTGTCTGAAGTCCGAGGTGTATAGGATGAACAGGAATGGAGCCAGAACAGTCCCCTGCGGCGCTCCAGTGCTTTTGAGGAAAGTTCTGTCTGTACATAATGATGAAAATGCTTCACCCCAACCTTGTGCTCTTAGAATGAAAAACAAAGCTAAAGTAATCATTTCTTCCAATTCTCAGGTGAAAGGCATTGATTAAATTCAATAACGATAGCGCTCATTGATACATTCAGTTCAGTTGTGACATTGGTCATGATAGTTTTTGGTGAAATATCGCAACAAATTCAGCTCCGATGCAAATTTTTCGAGAATGGATGGCGTGGGCGATTTCTGTGTAGATAGGTACGTTTTTATCATGTTAATGAATCATTCAGTCACAGAAGCCTCATATTATGTTTATAGTGGCACTTGAATATGGTGATTTTCATGACATAAATGTGACTGCTTTTCATTTTGTGACGTGGCTCTGTTGTAAATTGTGATTCACTAATGTCCCTATCCTTATGACTCATCCACTTTCTTTATTTCAGGTCCTAATTTGAAGACATTATGCAAAATAGCTGTAATTCAGTACCGTCTGGAGCAGTCGGGCCTTCCGCATGATATCAGGTCTGACAAACATCCTTTTCGAAAACATGGACTTTGGTTTTTTGTGTGTGTGTGTGTGTGTGTGTGTGTGTGTGTGTGTGTGTGTGTGTGTGTGTGTGTGTGTGTGTGTGTGTGTGTGTGTGTGAAAATAGTGACATCTCCGATGGGTAACTTGACAATGAGCCTCATATTTCTCGAACCATCACTGCCAGCTTGCATCAGATCCCTTTTAATGTTTTGAGTTGTGTTTATAACCTATCAAGTGTTTTGCGTGTACATGTGGGTGTGAGGGAGAGAAATTGTGAGGTCACAAGAGTCTGGTTAACTCCCGTTCGCCTTCGCTGGCATCTTCTGTCGCTGTGCCAATCTCCGCTCTGCAGCACACACGTACTCACTACACGAAAAAACGAACAAAGCCATTGAGAGGGACTGAGTGTTGAAACCAGAGCCAGTGATAACAATCTGGAGCTCAACCTCTGACCTGTCATCAGGTCAGTACTAGACCCCGTTGTCAGCCCCTGCTCCTGGTTCTCAAGTTACATCACAGCATTCCCCTCATCCTTATCTCGCTTATGTCACACCGTTTCTTGATTGAGGGATGATACACGTGTTCAATATTTTTGGGAACATTATGTGGTCTCATTGAATCGTAAAAATGTGGAAAAGAGTGTGACGGTCAAATGTGTCAGGTTGGATGAAAAGTGACTTGGATTGTAATCTGTTGAATACAGTGTAAACATCCTTTCTGTGACACTGGTTGACGTCCAACCTGTTTTAATTCTAAAAATAAGTAAATAAAATCAATTTCTTCCAAATAAAGTAAAAAAAAAAAAAGCTTTAGGAATTTTACAGGCTCATGTTTAACTGCTCAACTGTAAACATGTTAAAGTAAAACTGCTGCCTAATAAGATTTTTAAAGATGTCTTCAACCTTTCATGATTATAAAACCATTCAACTCTCTTCCTCTTCCGTCCAGGTGGGAACTGTCTGCCATGACCACCAACAGCAACATCAGCCGGCCTATCGTCTCACCCCATGGCTGACATATAGCTGAATATGAAGCAGATTATTATTTTTTTTCTGCCAGATCCATCTGAGCATGGAGGGACTGTTTTGTCAAATACAGATCTGTGCTGGATTTAATCTCATTTATCCAAAATGTCCCACAAAGGACTTGTTCGGACTCAGTGAACTTTCTCATGCTCAGGGTGTTTCACACAAGGAAAAGTAAAATGGGTTTGACCTGCTCACCCTCTCCCTCTATTATTATTATTTTATTTTATTTTTTTCTCGTTAAAAATTCAATCAGCCTATGATAATCATAGACTTTGAAGCACAGGACGAATGAGAGTGGAAAAAAAAAACAAAAGCTCATGTTGATGTCATCAAACACAACTAAGCTTTAAGAGACAAATTTGAACACAATCTCGAAATAGAATGTACATTTATGTAGACGCATACCATGTCCATTTGCAGCTAATGGGTCAATAGACTTTACATTTTGGTGTTCAGGAACATTGATTATTGGGTGCTGTACTGGCTTAAAAAAAAGACTTTTTGAGACGCTTCACTTTTTGCTCTTGCTTCATCACCACCCAAGGAGCACCCCGGTGCCCCACAGTGACTCACCGCTTCTGTACTAGGCAGTTGTGATCACTTTGTCCATCTCCCTCCCCCATAGTTTGTCTCAATGTTTTGAATAAGACTTTCCCATCTTACTACATGAAATTCTGTGGCTGTGCTGTTGCTCACCTGCTGAACTACACCTCCCCCGCCCCCAACTTTGCTGTGCCAAATGCAAGAAATGAATCATAGCATAATTTGTCATCTACACACTTTTGTTGAATATGCATCACCAAGCTCTTGCTCTTTTAGACAATCCACGTGGTGTCAAGACAACTTTCCTCATGACTTGCTTACTGACTCCAGGAGAGCGTGCGTGCACGTCTTCTGCGCCACTACGAGTGACCGGATACAAATGCATAAGGGCTGCCTTAAATTTCCACTTTCTTGAACGAACTTTCTTTATGTTTAATAGTAGGTTTATATTCTAATACCCTTTATGTTTTAACAAGTCACTTGAAATCATCAAACAGCTGCTCTTTTAAAAAAAAATAATAATAAAATAATAACTGTCAAAAGTCCCAAGCCTATTTGTTCTCAAGATATACAGGACAAATATCTTGGGATGTCACTCACTTTGTTTTATCATTAACCTTTGTCACAGCGCTCATTTTGACATTGTAAACCAGTAAATAGTGTGACAGGTACATTTAGAATGATTACATGAATACCACAAACCCCATTTCCATTAAAAAGAAAATATAATATAAAAACGTGGTGCTTTTGGTATGATGGTATTTTTATTATGTCATTATTATTATTATGTTATTTACTATAATGTTATGAATTACAATGGCACCTCCTGGCTATGTGATCTACCCCCTAACAGGACGTAGTTATTGTAACACACTTTAAGCAAACATAGCCAAACATAGATTTCTTTTCATGCGTGATTGTCATTACAAAGACTTTGGCACAGTACTGTATGTATTAAGGAAGGGGATCACTGCCTCACTGTCCTTTTGTGTCACCTAATTTGGACTAAAATACATTTATTGAAGACTATTTTCAGTTGTCAAGTCTATATTTACAGCCTCAACTCACTGTGTTACCTTTGAATGGCGGGGAAGAAGTGCTGTGAGGCTTTTGCGGCAAGGGCAATAGGATCTTGATATTGATCTTTGTGTTGTTTTCGGCAACAAAATAGAACCTGCGGCAACCTGGGCCCTCGCAGTGCAGACTTAACTGGCCTGCACCGTAAATGTTTACAAATGAGCGTAGTATGTTAAATTGCAGGTTCAAGACGACAGACTACGGCACTAAAGCATATCAGGACAGTCAGAGAGGAGACAACGTGCTGATCTACACTCAAGGAAAGACCACAGAGCACAGATGCATTCTAATGCTCTCTCTCACACACACATAACGCACACACACGCACACACACTCACATGGACAAGTCACGCACAATACTCAAGTCACCCAATCCGTGCACACCAGCCACTGAAAGCATGTCAAGCTGATGTTACACCAAATGGCCATCAGTGATTCGATATTATTTCTAACTCTATTGTGCCGCGATGGTGTTTTTCCTTTGTTTGTGTGTGTGTGTGTGTAAAGACTATGGGTGATGAAACTCTTCAGGGACAAAAACACATCGTTAAGGACACTGTCGGGCAACACATTTTCTCTGATAATGACGCTTACACCTCCAGTAAGGCAACGCTAATGATGCTACAGGTGTGTTTGTTTGAATATTTTGACCTAATCTTTTTTTAATGGCTGTGATTTCACCCACCCTTTAAGGTATAATTTTGAAAAGACGATAAAGGGGTGTGCCTTGCTTTCCCAAATGGCTAACGCTGTCAGACTGTGGTACCAGCGACTGTATTGTGGCCAGTGACATGGTATCGTAGTTTATTGTATCAACTTGTTACTTATTCAACCGTCTAAGATAACTGAGCAAAGTGTATTCAATGTTCAATTATCCACGTACATGCTCACCTTTTTCTTTTGTTTTTTTTGGGGGGGTATTACTGTTTGAGGGGAGATTGTAAAATTTGGTCAGGACTTACTGTGCAATATGATTTAGTAATAAATCTGATACAATTTGACTCCAGTAGTGTTTTTGTCGGGGGAGAAAAATTGCACCTCTCTCACTTTACTTGAAAATAGCAATACGACCTAAATACCGTATCACAACGACAATAGCTTCTCTCACTTTCTACAAAAGCCTTACAAACATTTTTTGTTGGTGCTAAAAGGTTACAGTATAAGGAGATCACACCAGTGTTACACTTTTCTGATGCATTGAACTCATTTCAAACCTTTTCAAATATTGTATGACCGCTACCCTGTATAAATTTAGAAAAGTATAACATATATTTGCATAAGCTCAGTGCATGAGTGCACGATGGAACGCAACATACCATGCATGTTTCACTGATGTCATTGGGTCTTTTTCTATTTTTCCTTAATTTCCTGCATATCATTCTTTGCATAGGCATCTATTTGCTCGGCCCTGCACTGCACTTGCAATATAGTGGTTCCTTGGGATGTGAGTGACCCCATTCACTTGACTCCAGACACTTCACAACACGCAAAAGTTTGCCAGATATTGAACAATTCTTCAAAAAAGAGGCTTCGACTGTTTAATGCTACTCCCAGTCGAAGTAACCAAACTCAGAATTTATCTTCCACCAGCTTAATGCTAACACAATACAAAACGCCTTACAGGCAAGTGAAACGTGTCATTGGTCTAGTGTTCTCACTTAGGCAATGGATATTTGAAATGGTGCATGAACACACGTACAAAGACAATACAATAACACTCACAGGCATGTTTTCTTTATCCTCTGCAAAAAAATGAGATATTACTGCAGTTAGTCACTTGGGGTATTTGTTAAAGTCTTCCTTGTTTGTGTTTTCATGACCGTGTTATACTGCCCTAGGTGACCAAGTTGGAACACCTTAATATTCCCTCAAAAATGGTATTTAATTCTTCCAAGAATTTTCCAAAATTTTAATTGGTTAGCAGCACCATCAATAATTTGAATGTGTCAGAGAGTGGAGAAGGGACCATGCACCTAAATATGGATAATGTGGTAAGATTTTGTTCATGTACTGGCAGAAATGTTGGCCCATACACTTCCTGTATTCACTGCCAAACTGGAAATTGCCTGAGGATTTCCAGTTGCGCTCTTGAATATAATTTCCAGTAGTTATTGTCACTGTCAAGGTTACACTAATGGAACACATCACAGCTTAACAATTTTGAAAATATACATCACTTACATTTAGGTAATGAACCTCACGTCTTGTGGAAGCTTTAACTCATGACTGGCTATTCCTGTTTCAGCTCCATTTGTATCACTTTGAGACGTTGAAGCCCTGGCCTCTCAATTTAATGTTTCCTGTTCAACTTGGGAGTGTTGTATCTTCCCCCAGTCACCCTGTCTGATAGCCCTCAATGTCTACAACATCGAGCACCCCCACCTCAAACGCCAAACGACTTTCATTGGGACGCGTGCGGCTGCGCCGGGGCGTCCCCGTCATGAGTGCGTGAAACCCAGCTGCAGTCGTTGCCTGCGCCACCAGTAGGAGTGTCCTGGCAGTGTGTTCCTGTCTGTCACCAGCCCTCAGCTATAAAGTCACTGTTATCTCCACAGTTAAGTGCGGGCCACAGACGGAGGGTGAGCTCAAAGTGAGGCAGTAGAGACACCCTGTCCCGCCTGGCCCCACAGAACACAGGAAGCGGGACAGCGCCGGGTCCCTTGTCTGGCCCCGGAGCCCTCCTCGCTCCACGACGCAGGCGTTAATGCGGGGAAAGCCTCGGCCAAATGACTCTCTAATTTCCCTTTAGGACTCAGATGATCCCATCGGTCCTTGAGAATCAGACTGAGGATTTGTTCAGAGTGGTTTGTTTTGTCTTGTCTCGCTGCGTCCCGCTCCGAATCCATCACTCAAGTTCTAGTTTTCGGCCCGCGGCCGCTAAATTGGGGGATTTGTGAAAAGAGGCATTTAAAGAGCCCCAAGGGGATAGAAGCTGGAGCCTGAAAAAACATCTGACATTTCAAGGAAGGGCCACATGTAATGCCATGGCTGCAGTTGATAGAGAGCACATTTAAATGTTGAGAACAACATGCTTCCTGCGTGTGAAGGTGCTTTAGTCCTATTGCCATGGGGTGTGATGCCCATAATCTATCTCTTCATCTGCGAAAGGATCTCGTTTAAAGTAACTATAGGCTCGGTGTGTTCCATTTTCAAAACCGTTAGCTTGCATCGGGGGATTAATTGAGTGACTAACGCACCCTCTGAAGCCAAACTGAAACAGCTGATTGGCTCACACGACTCCTCACAAATCAGTGATGCATACACGCGCTGTGTACTGCAGACTCTTCAACAATACACTATTGCTGGACTATTTCAAACACTTTTATTTTAGTCCAACACCAAAAAGCTATATCGCATATGACAATGATTTAATGTAGAATATGATGACAGACGGTTGAAAACAAACAACTTGAAAGGAGTCAGGCTCAGGCAAACACTGGTACCACTTTAGAAAAATGCTCGTAAATCTCCGATGACCTTATGAATTCTCAATAAACAATCTGTAAGTCAATGTATTCGTTTCCGCCACGCCTGACTGTTATCACGATGAACAGCTACCAATTATACTATAAATGGCAAAAGAGATCGGCTGTAGTGGGCCCTCGGTATGATTTGTGCAGGTACAACAGTTTTAACAAAGAAAGTCAATTGCGCGCTCAGTATTTGGCAGGCAGGAGGTGACTCCTGTTGTTCTTCTCAAATGACTTATAGTGGTTTATTAAATCTTGGAAAAAAGGGGTTCTCTGTCCTCTATTTCCGTTCTTCCTGTCAAGGGAAGTTTTTCATTGTCTCCGAAGTACTTGCTGAGGTAGTCTTCAGCTGGGCTCCTTCAATGTGTGGGGAGCGCGATCCTACGTATATCTGCTCCCTATGGAAAGTGGTTTGAGATAACTTGTGTTGCAAATTGGCGGAACAACAATAACATTCATTTGACTTGTTACCAAACAGCTTGTATTGTTACCCAAACACTGAATACAATTGAATGATTTTTTTTGGTTGTTAAAAGATGTTCACAAAACGACACGTCTGCACGTTTATTGACTTTGTTATTTACTCCCGTAGAATCTGATAATGTCCAATATTCATTCATTTAATTGTGCTTGACAATAGAAAAGTAGTACTAGAAGCGAGTTGCTATTTTACTCACCTCTCATAGTTAAATGAGGTATCCAAAATAGTTGAAAACAGTTCTCCATGTGGTGCAGGCCAGTTCTAATTCAAGCATGATGATGAATATACCCCAACCAGCCATCCATTTTTTTTACTGCTTGCAATATAATGACTTCCATCATATGAACTGTATCAAATGTTCACATTAACAAAGTTGCTAGTGCTCAGTTTTTTTGTTTGTTGTTGTTTTTTGCTATTGGCGCTGCATCATCATGAGAGCCGTCTTATGTATTCCAAGAGGTACAAAATGGTGACACGAGAGACTGCAAAAATAGTGTGAATAGCGCTCAGTATGTTACGCTGCACATTTACAAATAAACCGTAAGCACATTGTTAAATGAAAGTATCATTCAAAACTGAGCGTTCTTTTCTTTCACTTTCTAAAGGTGTATTTGAAAGCCCCGGATCTTAATTGATGAGATTATGAGGCGTGAGAGTGGACATTATCGACAGCATTGATTAGTTCATTCCATTCATTTATTCAAGAAATCTCGGGCATCCCGCCAAATGAAAAAGAATCCATTCAAGGCATACTGTGGAGTACAGTACATAAAACAGCCATTATCCTGTTCCTTGTCCAACGCATCCTCAAGCAATTTGCCATGAATTAAGTCATTATTTGTCTCTTTATCGTGAGCCGTCGGATTAAAAAAACAAAACATGATTCTCCTTTTTATGCGTATCCTTGTGACGCGGGGTGCCCTCTCCCCATTGTGGCCACTTGGTACAGCACAAGCCCAGCCTCCACTTTTGAGTGTGACGCCCCCACACTGAAGGCCCTTGGCAGCTATAAAAAGGCTCAGGACAGATCCCGATCACACGCACACACAACACACGCACCAAGTCCGCTGAGAGCCCTCATCCTCCACTACAGACGCGACAGCTTCTCATCACCGTAGTTTCCATAGGAACCATTCATGTTCAAAGTCTGCCGTCGTATGGGGGGAAAAGAGACCCGTGCACTCTCACTCAGCTTGCTTCTTTTTTAAAAGTGCGTTGGTTGAGGCAATTGGTGCTCTTTTCTCTTTTGACGCAAGCCAATGATGAACGCTCACATCATTTTTGGGATGCAAGGGAGGCACTGGTGAGTTTGCCCATTTTAGTTTCCTTCAACTTGGCCAGCATGGTTCCTCACAGATCCACCAAAGGCGCATCCAAAGCACGGCGGGACCACATCAATCATGAGATCAGGAATATGCGAGCTCTGCTCCCCATCCCCCTGGTAGACCAGAAGCGCCTCTCCTACCTGCACTCAATGGCTGCCGTGTGCACTTACATCAGGAAGTCGGTTCTCTTGCAGGGTGAGTGGAGAAGGGCTCCCTTCTTTCAGCAAGTGTTGAGGATGAACTCAGACGTTTCTTCCTTCAGGGCTTCCCAGCGGAGATGCCCTCCCCGGCTCTTTTGCTTATGAGGCCTTTCTCCAAGCCTTGCATGGTTTCATCCTCGTCACTACTGTCCAAGGGAGGCTGGTCTACGTGTCGGAAAATGTATCGGAATATCTGGGCCTTTCTATGGTGAGTGTGAGCTTCAATATGGTGTCATGTTATAAACAGAAAGGTTACCTTTTATTCCTGAATTGGTAAAACCTTTCATTCTATTCTCAGGTCGACGTGCTTCAAGGAGACACCATATACGACATGGTGGAACGTGAGGACATTGATATTATTGAGTCCATCCTGAAAGGACACGATGAAAAGACGTCATCATCAGGTAATCGAGAAAAAATGAACTCCTTGTCTACTAGAGAGTTTTGTGTACATGCCTCACACAGATATTTACGACGTTCACATTTTGCGTGTGTATAACAATGCTCGCAATCCCACTATGGACCCAAAAAATGACTCAAGACTCCACATCGAGATAATTGAAAGATGTAATGTAACAATGCACTGTTTACAAGTAACATTTTAATTACATTTTAACATGAAACCCACTTATCAATGTTGCTTATTCATGAATATCAAAAATGTACATTGCGGAGGACCAACTTTAATGCTGAATTGGGCCACAATTTTTCATCAGTGCTACTGGGGGGCACGTAGGACCACACACTTCTGAACCAGATGAATGACAAAAATGCCACTTTAAATAGGGACATAATGCATGCATAAGTGCTCCTACCATATTATATTTTTCATTAAGAATTTCTCAATGCATGGGTAAAAGTGCCACTCACTGAACCCTACAACAAAAAGTTTGAAGCAAACAACAAAGTAACCACAAACTGTGTTTTTGTATCTTATTTTTAATATCGCAAAATCCTGGCATTTGAACAGGGGCGTAAAGACATTTTATAAATCCACTTAACATGTTTTTGATTTGACAGCAATGGTATGACTTATCATGCTCCCCCCCCCCCCCCCCCCCCATATAAAATAGCCACAATTAGTGGAGGAAAAACAGCTAAAAGGTCATAAAAAGAAAAAAGTAACATTGTGTAGCAAATACGGTGCACTATTACTTCCAACTGGTCTATTTATTCCCGTAGAGAGCAGTTTTGTATGCAGCATGCAGACCTCCAAGACCTTCAAGCAGCAGCAAAGCAGTTGCTCAATGCTGGTTCGAGGCAGCTTCCAGTCCTTTCCGGAGCCTTGTCCATTCTCCTCCATCAGTACTGCTGGCAAGACCCTCTTTCTGGCCCTGTGCACCCCCACAGTGGACCGCCTCGGGGGTGTTGAGTCACACTTGAGCCCCAGTTTCCGCAGTGTGCATGCACTTGATATGAGCTTCACTCGGCTGTCAGACAGGTACAAGCGGGCCACGTCTATACGGGGAATGAATAATATCAAGTCATGATATTTTTATTTTTTTACTAAAAAATATTGTGCTTATTTTTTTCAGTGTTTTGTATTTTATGGGGTACTTGGCGGAAGAAATGGTTGGCCGCTCATGGTACAGCCTAATCCACCCTGAAGATCTATCTTTAAGTGTGAACCATCACAGGCGTTTATGTAAGTGACAAGGCCCAATGCGTTATTATTAATTATTCATCATGCTCTAAAGAGAAAAACAGTGTCAGCGTTTTTGTTCAGTGAACAGTGCTTTGGGTTAGGGTCCTATTTGAAATCTGTATTTCTCCAACAGTTTTGGCCTGGCAGGAATGTAAGCTAATCAAAGACAATCAGAGGCTACGTTGCTTTCATTAGTCACATAAGAAAATTTTTGTTTCATAAAATATTCTAACACTATAATCATCAAAATTAGCTTTAAAAAAAAAAAGAAAAATATTTCACTCTGTATGTAGTAAAAAAAAAAAATAATAAATTCCCAATATTCATATGTATTGAGGTATACCTTTACATTTATTCCTGAAAACGTGTAAAAAAAAACCATGACATTAAAAAAAAACAAAAAACGCAACAATGTACTTTCATATATTCTGGAAATCAAATTCAGTGGTTTTGCTAAAAAGTGATACACATACTGTAAGTGCATCAACACCAGTGAGTTACTTGGGTTACAAAATTTGTGATTTGGTTGTTTTTCGACGAGCCACAATTTCGAATCCCTGCGACAGCATATGTGTCCATTAGCAATAGAGCAATGTACTTTTGCATGGTACTCCCTTTCGAGTCTACATGACACAGCGTTGTTACTTTTCAAACAATTCAAGAATGAATTCTGATTTAATTTGTTTTGGATAAGTGATGGAATTATGTCGAGTTTGCCTGCTAGGCTCTAGCGTCCTTCATTCAAACCCCTCAATTGTGATTTGGAGCAGATTTGTGTTTGTGACTGTGCACAATAATAAATACAGTATATGTGCTTCTTGTTTTTTTTTTTTTTCAGTACAAACAGACGAGAGCCTGAAGGTGCAGATGGTTATGAGACTTCAGTGCAAAGATCTGTCATGGTCCTGGAGCTACATTTGTGCTACCAAAGAGTCTCAGTGTCAGACTGCACATATCTGCTGCACTAACTTCATCATCAGGTGTGGCAAATGTTTCCACTGTTATTAAAAGTCCATGTGTTGTTAAAAACAACAGTCCCCAAATCTTTTTTTTTTCTTTTGGTTTTGGGCTCTGGCTTCCAGTAAAGCAATATTTTGACATAGAGGGAACCGGTGACAATTGCAACGTTTTTGTGTCTCTAACTTTTAGCTCAATTGATCTAGGGTGTTCAAACTGCTATGCAAACTAGCTTCAAGTGTCTGCTAACTACATAGAAAATACCTGTGCACCACAAACAGAAAATGCATGACATACAACATCTTTGAATATAGTTGGAGTAATTAATCGGCATCCATTCTGTGGTTTGCATGAAAATGTTTTCCATGTTCTGTCGCGTGTCGGAGATCAAAATAGGCCTTTATGATTCATAACATTTTAGACCACTTTACTGCCATTTTCTTTAGCCCGAGGTTTATTTGTGGGGCCAAATACAAGGGGGAAGACAAATTCAAGTGCGACAGTAACTCTTAAACTTTGCTAAGCTAAGCTCATTGAGGAAGTCAAGAACTACTCATATCAATCGAAAAAGACGAATTGCACACTGACCCTAAATTAATTGCTGGGGCCTTGTGGTCGTTTAACATCACAGTGAGAGTGGCACTGGAATTTCGCTTCTGCAAGACCGCAGGGAACATGAATAGTGTTTTTGTGCAGATGTGACATTCGGAAAGGATTTTCTACAGTGTGTCCCAAAAAATCAGATGAAGTTCGCTGCTATTCTTGCCTGGTTTGTTTGTCTTTTGTAATTGTGTCGCAATGTCTTTTAATGTTCTTTTGTTCATTGTTTTTTTCTAAAATTCATCCTGTCATCCTTTAGTGAAACAGAGGCCAAGTTTCTGCAGGGGAGAATGAGTGACGATGCTTTAAGGCCATCATCCCCGACAGACAATTATCCTCCCAGAAGCTGTAAGAAGCAGGGCTCTCCCAACAGCCAAAGCCAGGAGGCATGTTCGAAAGTCAGGGTGGAGTCTGATGAAGACATCCACCATGGCGATATTTCACCCCTTCCTTTAGGGGGCAGCCCTGCGTTCTTCACCCCTCCCCACAGCCCCGCGTCCTCGAGCTCTCCTGTGCAGCAGGAGGAACTGAACCTCGTCTTCCACATGGATGTGCACACATACGCTGATCAGCTGCTGTCCTGCCCGGAGGCTTCCCCTTCCTCCTACTCCTACCCGGAAGCTGCGCTTGCCTGTCACCTTTCACCTCACCGCTCCCTCCTCTCGCAGCACACCTTTGATCAGGGAGTCTTCCTCACTTTCAATCCTCTGTCTCCGGCCTCCCCCTCATCCACAGGCTATGATTTCCCGGCTTGTGCATCCGATGCCAGATTAGTTCCAGACGGCTTGGCAACGTCAGACATGAGTGAGAGCTCCGGGGATTGTGCCCTGCATCAAGATGACTTCAGCCTATTGGAGCAGCCACAAGAGGGCAGCCTCCAACAAGTGCACCTTGTTCCCCAGTACATGTTACCTGCCAGCCTTCCAACCCCCAGCCAGTCCCCTCTATCCATGACATCTGAGCAGTACAGCCAGATGGAGCAGGCGGAGATCAGCATTCTGGCTCAGCAGATCTCCTCGTTGGCTTCTACTTTTGACATGGTTGGTCCCCTCGATCTGATCCAAAGCACTGACTGCCTGCCCTCCTCCTCCTCCTCCTCTTCCTGCTCACATCAGTGGCCCATCCAGGCTGCTCTCCCCTCTACCCTACATACCAAATTGCTGAATGACGGCATTTTAGAGAGCCTCCTCGACGATCTGGATATGGTCGCAAAGATAGGCTCTGCTATTCCCGACTTCAACTGCCCTCAGGAAACCGCGTGCGCCTCACAACACTTTGATCCGCGAGGTCCCAGCCCGACGACCTCAGAGAACTCACTGGCTCCAAACGTCGCTTTAGATCCTTTCACTTTGCAGTTGGGATGTCATGACCAAAACACCGAGTTGCATCAACTCAACCGCTCATTGCAGAGTAACCTGCAGCAAGGTAAGTTCTGTCAGGGGCACTCATGAAGACTCATTGTTAATCTTGGCTAATGTTGTTTTCTACCTTTTTTTTTTTTCAGACAGACTTGCTGAGGAAAACCTGTACTGAAATAAGTCTGTGACTTACGACGCTGCCCTTTGTATGACATATTGTCAGGAAAATAGTCCTTCGGCGGATTCGTAGAAAAGCACCGCAAAGATATTTAAAGGACATGTCGTACTAAAAGATCATTTTTCCCCAATGTGCATGTCTGAATGTCAAGTATCTCCACAGTTTGAGATTTGTCTTAATTTCTGCAAAATGCTGTCTTCTTTCTCTTCCAGCTAATGTCTTTATTTTTTTTATGAAAAAGGTACTTTAAAATGTCTGACCACAGTGAAAACAAAACATTAGAATGGAAATATTTTCTCCTAAGTGGCCACGCTTCACTATTGAGCACTTTATCACTGTCATTGCCACAAGAGGGTTAGAAACAAAACAGTGCTCATTTCAATGGATTTTTTTATTTATTTTTATATTGAACCTTTTAGCAGAGAGCATTTATTGTCATTACGTTTGTGTGAAACTGGGAGATAATAATATCTTTCATTTTTCATGCCGTGATCAAAATAACGATTGTTTCTACAACCTACCTCAGCGGTACATCTCACTGCATTCCAATTCTGGATTTCCCAAAAAATGAATTGTATTCATTTAGTTGAACCCCTTAACTGTTTAAGGCAAAGCAAACTGTGATTGGTGTATCTTTTTTCACATCTTAAATGGTACTGTAAATAAATGCTCACCCTTTGTTCGTGCTTCGTATTTTTAAATGTAAATAAAACAAGACGAAAACAAATGTCATTGTTCTACGACTCTTGATTTCTTTTCTGAAGTACACGTAGTTATGGGTGTTTCATTTACATGGTCTCTTTGCTTTTTCCTCACGCAGTGACCAAATAAGCAGTGAAGTCAAACTTATAATAAGTCATGGTTTTTAACTAAGAGAGAGATACTATAATCATAATGATCATGAACTTTTTAAAATACATTAAAAAAAAACACGAAAATTAGGGCAAATTGATGCTAAGGGGTTGCTTTGACCACAGTCTTTTCGCCTTTCGTTGTTTTCCCATGACATTACACACCTCTGGACATGGCCACAGCCGCAGTGCTTTCAATCTATGCATGGTTTTGTTCGGGTGCTTATTGAGTGTTTGAATGGATGACCTATATTTGAGCCAAAAAAAATGATGAGATGCTATGCGGTGTTTGACTGCAACAAGAGAGGTATGGTTGGAGGAACAAAGTCCCATTTAACGGCACTGATTTTGAATCAGGATTAGCAAACGGGACATTTGTCAAAATGATGGCACATTGGTTCTAAGCAGCAGTTATATCATGTCCAACTGTCTCCACGATCAACAAACTGTGAACATAGTGCTGTCATGACAGAGGAGTTGTCATGCTCCTATCGTGTTTTGGTTTTTTTTTCAGTCTTCAGCTGGAGGGAAGGCGTCATACAAGTCACACCTGTCCGTCAGGCGTCGTTATCGACTGCCTTTAAAAAGCCAGCTTCGCTGACAATCAACAGTTGGATTATTGCCTTGCTCATGAATCTGTTGCCAAGTGCGAATGATGTTCTTGCCAATTTTTTTTTCTTGTATTTTTCTTGTTATGTATTCTCGATGTATGTTCTCTGTGTATTGGATTTTCTTGTCCTTTGAGTTCACAATCAATATATGTTTTTCTTGCTCAAGCATTTTTGGTTTGTTCTCACCTTTTCCTCGTTCTTTGGTACCAGCGTCCTTAGTTTTTGTCAGTCTTGCGTTTTTATAAAGATATTTTTGTTCAAAGCCTCTTATCTCTGTCTATGCTTGTGGAATCCTTGTTCTGTCCGGATTCTTTCCGGACACCTGACAGGAGTAAACACACAATAAGACTCATTTGTCAGCATAGAAGGATAAAAGCTTTATTTACAATGCAATAATTTAAAAAAAAAATGTGAGGAAAGAAACCCCGAGTAGGAAACGTTTTGGAATCATGAAAAAGAAGACGTCAACACAACCTCTGGGCTTTTTTTTTTTTTTTTTAATCAGCCCGCAGTCTCAGAGGCATGGATTTAATGAGCATGGAAGAGAGATTAGCATGCATCTTCCACACACTTCTGTGATTAGGGTTTGCAATCTAGGCTCAGGCCTTCCTGTATGGAGTTTGCACGTTCTTCCTGTGCTTCTGTGGGTTTTCTCTGGATGCTATGGCTTGCTCCAAAATTCAACAAACAAGCACGTTAGATTAAATTTAAGAGAGTGTGCAGTTTTCCAACAAAACACCTAAAGCAGCCATGACAATAAAGCAGCCTCAGTTGACTTGGCAGCATTATTTACCCCTCGGTTAGCAACACAAGGTAAAACAAAAGCAGGAATTGGCCAGCCATCGATGCAAAACAAGGACCTCCCCCATGAGTCAAGATGAAATGACCACCAGATGGCGTAAAGTGCCAAAAATTTAGTTTGATGGTGAATCTGCCTTCAGATTACTAGTCCATTTATGAGGGTGCGATTGAAATATGTCATCCATTTGCTTTAGGCCGACTGCTTTTCCTCATTGGGGTCATGTTTGAGCTGAAGCCGCTCACATCTGATTTTGGGTGTGTTTATAGTGTGTGTGGATGAGCATTCCGCATGAAGGCACGCCACTGAGTCAATTGATGAGGCAACAGTCCAGCAGCCCACTCGCATCCACGGAGAGCTAATTAGGAGTGATGTTCTGTGAAGGGTAAAATAGCAAATAAACTTCCCAACGAGCGTCCACATCTGTTGCTTCAGTCACTGCAAGGATTCCGCCGAGGCACCGGGACTCACTCTTAATCGACGCAGCTCGGCGCACACGTATATATACACATCATCTCACACGCGCGCTCTCTCCACCTGCCAGGTTTAAGATTAGACACCACAAAAGAAAAGATACTAGGATGAAAATTACAGCTGGCATTACCGTGTGTCTCTATGGTGTTTGTTTTCCCACTAAACTGGCATTAAAAGACAAGTGCTGTTGCATTCGTTTTGGATAGTGTGGGCAGCGGTTTGATTGAAAATTCTGAAAAACAGAAAAGATCAAACAAATTCAAGAAGTGCATCAAACATTCTGCTCACTTATGACTGACACTGCCAGAGATGTATTCAACAGAGTTGGGCATTCCGTCAGTTTTGACAAAAGGTCCATCAATCCGTCACTGACTTTTGCTGGCAAAAATGACAAATGACGGGAAACTATGAAAAAGTAACAGCCTAAGCACCGGCGGAAGTGTCTGTCACTGTAATTGTCACTAACCGGGTTAGTATCGACGGACTTTCCGAGTCCATCACTGGCAGACTTCCGTTTCGCTGACGACTGACAGAAATGCGCAGCGCGTGTTTCACATGTATTTGTTGGCAGGAGCCACCATTCATTTCAAACTCTGTGTTTGATGTCAATGATTTACACTTTTTAAATGTACTGGACATGCAGTACGGGCACGTACATGTTCCACTGAATGTGTTGAATGTATGGGGTTGGCCCACTGAAGGCAGGAAAAAATATTTCTTTTGTTAACTTTTGCCACTATCCCAGGGAAACTGATAAAAAGGAAGACAGGCAAAACTGACATCGTTTTGAACGACAAATACAGTATAAAGACACAAAATATGAAATGTAATACTCATTATATCATGACTATATGGGGCCTGTAACAATTCTGACAGGGCCACCACAGGGCAACCACTCAAAAAAGCTTAAGATAAGACCCTAAAAGATGATCATTCTTCTTCCTTCCACAAATAGACCCCAAAACTAGCACTTAGCAAGATGCAGTACAGTTTTTTTTTAATGGAAAATTTGTGCATAACTCAAATTGTTCATAAACACAAATGTTGCTAACTCCAGTCTACTACTACTGTAAATGGCAGTGCATGCATGCAATTTGGGAACGATTGCAGCTTAAAAGATAACCGCACATGGATTCAGCATTGAATAGTTTCTGTGGAAGATAGTCAATAAAATAAGCATGCAAGTCACCGTGCACTCATTCGTTGGTACAGTTTGACTGCTGACCGGTCGACCAACTACGTCACTGGGCACCTCAAATTCGTCTTTAGCAGGGAAGGGTCGACTCATGCTGTTTAAGCCTATATTTTCACAATTCACTCCTACATAGTTTTCAGTAAGTATGCAGAATGTATTTTTATACAAATCCATGATTTCACTTTACACTGACTTAAAACAGAGGTGCTCAACGAATGAGTTTTCTTTACTAAGATCAGCCCGGTTTGGATCTGCCGCCTCCCTGCTGTCCGTTCACAAAGGTGTACTTTCTTTATTGCGTTTGGACAAGTCCCACGCAGCAGTGCCCCAGGTGTCCCTTCGTGCCGCTTAGTTTATTTAGCGGCTTTATGTTTTTTATTGGGGTTTCATCAAAGCCTGCGGGCCTTATTGACAGCTTTGCTGCAAAAGCGAATTGCTGTGGGATTGTCGGACAGGTGCGCGTGGCGCCAAGGTCACGGCGCAGTACGGCATGCCATCCCTTGGTGTTATTGCACGACTTGCCTCTTCGCGCTTCTCATAAGACAACAGTCGGCGCATGTGTTTCCACAAACAACAAGCCATTGTCTTGGCTCAATCACATATCCGTGCCTATTATGCTTCTGTCCCACTTCTCAAGTCGCGTGGCTGCTGTCGATTCAGCCGGTGCATGTAGACGCTCTAATTGGGTTAAACACAAAGACCCAAAATAGGCTACAGCCTCTTCCTGCAGGATCCTGCGAGTTCCTCTTGTCACCGTGCCTGAAAGCGCAGCTCCCATTTAACACCGGATTCCAGTCGTGCAGAGTCAACACTTCCCGTTTGCGGGAGGGAGATGAAAACAAACAGCCCCAGAGTGCTTCTTACCTGCACATCAATGTTTGATGTCTATCGCGGGCACGCAGCTCAATGCAAAAGCTTTTTATAAAATACCGTATATGTTCTGTCGCAATAATTATTTCATCTACAATATGATAGAGTGCTGTTTTCCTAAAAAGACCAAAAAAACATTTTGATTATTTATTGGGGGGAGGTTGGAACAGCTTATTGACATTAAGCGTTTCGATAGAAAGAATTTGAGATACAAGCCTTAATTTACAAGCCTGGTCACGGAACAAATTAAACTCCTATCTCACCACTGTACTACATCAAAACAATAAAACAATTAAAGTGAATTGAAATGAACAAACTCATTTTATAAAATGTAATTCATATACTCAGTGTCGTTTTCGTGTGTTGGATGAGCGCTTGTAATGGGCGTGACCTAGTGAGAGACATCAGGAGTCGGTATTGTATTCATGCGCTGAAAATGCTTCGGCTATTGTGGCACTCTTTGCCAATGTGTCTATGTAGTGTTTACTTTAAGGCGACATGATGGGCATTGAACTTTTTATCGTTAAAACAAAAATATTTAGGTCTCTCGGGAATGCCTGCCCACCCATCAAGTGTGAATACACACATTGGCCTCTGCTTCTACAAGTAGAAGCAGCTAGCCGCAGCGCACACATGCCGGTGGGAGCCAGCTTGTTGGGTGACGAGGAAGAGGGGACCAAAATGCAGACATTTTTTTTTTTTTTTGCAAAATACAGACCACTGTCATAAATACAGTCGCTGGCAAGATGACTCGAGGCAGCCTGCAATGCTTCAGCAGTCGTAAAACTCTGCCTCTGTCTCTGACCCTAATGGAAATGAAAGCTGGACTTGCCATTAGAAACAGCAGCATACGTGGTGGAATGAGGGCTGGTTTAATTGCAGGTGACAAGGCTGACCCCTTGAAACAGGATGGTCTCATAAAAAGGACAGCCTTGTTTCA